CTTCCACATGGTCATCCACTTTGACCAGCCCATCTTTGGTTGAAGATGCTGTCTTTTCCCCCCAATGTGTATTTTTGACTTCCTTATAAAAAAAATCAGGCATCCATAGGTGTGTGGATTTGTATCTGGGTCTTTAATTGATTCCATTGATAAATACGTCTGTTTGTGCCAATACCATGCTGTTTTTATTACTGTAGCTCTGTATTACAACTTGAAATTGGGGGTGGTGGTACCTTCAGCAGCTCTTTTATTTTCAGGATTGTTTTTAGCTATTCTGGGTTGTGTGTGTGTGTGTGTGTGTGTGTGTGTGTGTGTGTGTGTGTGTGTGTTTTCATATGAAGCTGAAAACTGTCCTTTCAAGATCTGTGAATAATTGTGTTGAAATTTTGATGGAGATTGCATTTAATCTATAAACTGCTTTTCTGTCCATTTTCACTGTGTTAATTCTATTGATCCATGACCATGGGAGATCTTTCCATGTTCTGATGTCTTTTCCAATGACTCAGAGGCTTTTTTTTTATAATACAAGTCTTACACTTGCTTGGTTAGAGTTTCCCGAAGATATTTTATATTATTTGAGGCTATTGTGAAAGGTGTTTCCCTGATTTCTTACTCAATCCACTTGTCATTTGTATACAGGAGGGCTACAGAGTTTGTAAGTTAATTTTTGTATCCAGATATTTACTAAAAGTGCTTATCAACCATGGAATTTTCCTGGTGGAAATTTTTGGGTCACTTATCTATCATCTGCAAGTAAAGGTACTTTGACGTCTTCCTTTCTAATTTATAACCCTTTGATCTCCTACAGTTGTCTTGTTGCTCTAGCTAAAATTCAAGTACTATATTGAATATGTATGAAGAGAGTGGACAGCCTTGTCTTCATCCTGATTTTAGTGGACTTTCTCTCCATTTAAGTTAATGTTGACTATAGGCTTGCTATAAATTGGCTTTATTTCCCTTATATCCCTAAACTCTCCAGGAATTTTTTCATGAAGGGTTATTGAATTTTGTCAAAGGCCTTTTCTGCACCAAATGAGATGATTGTGTTGTTTTTCTTTATATAGTGGATCATATTTATCAATTTATGTATGTTGAATCATCTCTGCATCTCTGGGATGAAGCCTACTTGATCATAGTGGATGACCTGTTAAATATGTTTTTAGATTTGGTTTACAGTAATTTATTGAGAAATTTTGTGGTCTGTAATTCTCTCTCTTTATTGGATCTTTATATGGTTTGGGTATCAGGGTTACTGTGGCTTCATAAAATCAGCTGGGAAGTGTTCCTTCTGCTTCTGTTTTGTGAAATAATTTGAAGAGTACTGGCATTGACTTTTCTTTGAAAGTCTGGTTGAATTCTTGCTAAAATGATCTGACCCTGGTCGTGGGAGACTGCTCTTGTGTTTGCTCTTAACAGATGTTAAGAATTACAATGCCCTCTTGATGGATTTTTCCTTTGACCAGTATGTAGTGTCCTTCTCTATCTCTTCTGAATTGTTTTGGATTGAAGTCTACATTGTCAGATATTTAAATGGCTATACCAGATTGCTTCTTAGGTCCATTTGCTTGGAATATTATCTTTCTATCCTTTTACCCCCAGGTAATGTCTGTCTTTGATGTCAAAGTGTGTGTGTATTTTTTTTAATGCAGCAGGAGGATGGATCCTGTTTTCTAATTCATCCTGTTAACCTGTGTCTTTTTATTGGGGAATTGAGACAATTGATGTTAAGAGATATCAATGACCAGTGATTTGATTGTTGTTCCTTGTTATTTTGTTTTGCTGTTGTTGTTTTTGGTGGTGTGTGTATTACCTCTCTTGATTTTTTCTGCTCTGGGGTTATTTATTGCTTGTGTTCTCTTGGGTGTAGCTAATCTCTTTAGGTTGTAGTTTTCCTTCTAGTACCTTCTATAGGGCTGAATTTATTTGCAGCTAGATACTACCTAAATTTGGTTTTATCATGAAATGTATTATTTCTATACTTATTGAAAGTTTTGCTGGGTATAGTAGTCTGTGCTGGCATCCATGGTCTCAGAGTCTATAGAACATCTGTTTGGGTCCTTCTGGCTTTTAGAGTCTCCATTGAGAAGTCAGGTGCGATTCTAGTAGGGTCTGTCTTTATATGTTACTTGGTCTTTCCCCTGCAGCTTTTAATATTCTTTCTTCATTGTGCAAGCTGTTTTGATTATTATGTACTAAGGGTACTTTTTTTCTGGTCCAGTCTATTTGGTGTTCTGTGTGTTTCTTGTACCTTGATTAGGGTTCTAGCTAGTTTTATGGAAACTTGACACAAAAAGAAGGGATCCTTAATTAAGAAGATGCCCCTCTGTAATATCCAGCTGTAGGGCATTTTCTTACTTAGTGATTGATAGGGAGAGCCCAATACATCTGAAAGCCAGAAGGGCCTGGACAGATGTCTTGCAGACTCCTAAGTAGTGGGTAGTGCTATTCATGGGCTGGTGGTCCTAGGTTCGGTAAGGAAACAGGCAGAACAAAGCCATGAATGCAAGCCAGTAAGCAGCCCCAGTTCATGGCTTCTGCATCAACTCCTGCCTCCAGGTTTCTGTCCTGTTTGAGTTCCTGTCCTGGCTCTCTTTAATGATGGACTACACTGTGGAAGAAACCCTTCCCTCTCTATCTTGATTTTTAATTATAGGGTTTCATCTCAATAATAGAAACCCTGACTAACACAATAGGCACCTTTTCCTTTAGGTTAGGGAAATTTTCTTCTGATTTTGTTGAAAATATCTTCTGGGCCTTTGACCTGGGTTTCCTCCTCTTCCTTATTCATATCCTTCTTAGATTTATTTCATCTTTTCATAGTGTCCAGATTTCATGGATGTTTTGTGCCAGTTTGTTCAACTTAACATTTTCTTTGACCTAGGTATCTGTTTCTTTTATTGTGTTTTCAGTGCCCGAGATTCTGTCTTCCAACTCTTGCATTCTGTTGGTGAAGTTTGCCTCCATGGTTCCTGTTCAAGTTCATAAGTTTTTCATTTCCAGATTTGCCTCAGTTTGGGTTTTGTTGATTGGTTGTATTTCCACTTTGAGGTCTGGAATGGTTTATTCATTTCCTTTCACTGTTCATTTGTTTTCATAGATTTCTTTCAGGGGTTGATATATTTTCTCTTTAAGGATCTCTATCATATTCATAAAGGGTATTCTAAGATCTTTTTCTTGTGCTTCAGCTATGTTGGAACACTCAGGACCTGCTGTGGTAGGGTTGCTGGATTCTGGTGGAGACACATTGTCCTGGTTGTTATTGATTGTTTTTACACGGGTGTATAGGCCTCTGGGATTGGGAAGATTATAATAGTTCTGGCTGCTGATGTCTGGTATTTGTTGAGTGGGTGTTTTATTCCTTGGTTTCTGTTTTCTCTGTGGTTCTTGTAAGGGAGTGTGTGGTGACTGTGTGTTGCCCCGAGTCCTGATAGTTGTGGCCATTGCAGGGTTCAGGTAAAATGTGTTTCTGGGTGTTGGGAGCTGACATTTAGGAGTAGAGATGGGCTGGGGGGTGGGATTAGGGGGATCCACAGGAGGGAGGAAAGTGGGGTGTTTCACCAGGGTCTGTTTACTTCCCTGGGAATGGTGGTAGAGGGAGAGGAGAGGCCATAGCAGAAGGTCTGCTACAGAGCTCAGGGTGAGGCGAGGCTATTGGATCTGGAGGAGCAGGAGGAGAGGTGATGATTTGCAGTTAGCTTACCTGCTTCCCTGGTCAGAGTGGCCAGTGGGTTCCCAGGAAGTGCCTGCTGCAGGTGGGCCTGGGACAATGCAACAAGTGTGGGGAGGGAGATGAGGCCAGTGAATCCACTGAGGGGGCGGCAGGCATTCTGCTGCAGAGCTGGGAGTGAGACTGGGGATTGGATTTGGAGGAGCAGAGGGAGAGGTGAAGATCGGCAGTCAGTCTACCTGCTTCCCTGGCAGGAGTCTGCTTCCCTTCTACAGTTGAGGACATTGAGGCATAGAAAAGGGAAATATTGTCTGTAAGATTTAGTGAATGGCATGCTGGTATTTGAACCTAAACAATCTGGGTCATCTGTCCTTTGATTTTGAGGGATGGAACCCATCATTTGAATTTCTTCATGTTTCCTGCTTGCCAGCTTCTTTTTCCTTCTATACATGGAGTGTGGATTTTGCTGAGGTTAAAGATCAGAAATGTAGTTCATCTGTTAGTAGAGGAGAAGGCAGGAAAACAAATGAGCCATTCCTCCACATTGTGACGAGAAGACTCTGACTGAGATTGCATAAGGACCTGCAGAAATAACTTAGAAGCAAAGAAGAGCCGAAGAAGGGGAAGGCAGGCACATGGAAAGCACAGCTGCGGCAAAAGCTCTGAAATCAAGTTGGGATTCTTCAAGCTGACAGCCACAGCTTGTCTGTGGATGTGGTTATGAACTGCTGGGGTACCAAGGACGTGGACACACATGGTCATATGATGCAAAGCTGGAAGTCAGGCGATGCACATTGAGTGGCCAGTCTAGAATGATTGACTTTTTATAGAGGGGGAACTGTAAAGAAGTTTAATGGTGTTGTGAATGGGGAGATGGATCAGTTGAACTTTGTAAAAAAAAAAAAAAGATCCAGGAGCTTTGTAAGTGATAGATGGAAAGGGGTCACAAGACTTGTGGCGATTCAAGAATATTACAGTGATTTAGGCAAGATTCTGTGTTGCTGCCCTAGGTGTGTGTGGGGGGCGGGGGGGTGTGTTTGGAAGGGAAGTCTGTCTGGGAAGGAATAAGATAACCAGAGACTTAGCCCATTGTCTAGCCCTGGATGACTTTCAGTTGTAGCTTATCCACACACCCTAGCCCTGGATGACTTTCAGTTGTAGCTTATCCACACACCCTAGCCCTGGATGACTTTCAGTTGTGGCTTACCCACACACTCTAACCCAGATTCTTGATGATATTGAGAAGCTGGACTGTCACCTGCATTCCAACTTCCATCCACAGGTATGTGCACTAAGGTTTGAGTATTCCTGCTGGGCCTGGAGCAGCACCCACCTTTTAATTCCAGCATGCATAAGGCACAGGCAGACAGACCTCTGTGAGTTCAAGGCCAGCCTGGTCTACATATCAGCTTCCCAGTAAGAGCTGGCATGCACAGAGCCTTTCAGCACATCCCATCAGCACACGGGCCCCTCCATCTTCATATCCACCTTTATCACAAAGGAATAGCTGCTGTAGAAAAAAAAATGAATTCTTCTATTTGAGATCCTTTTGTGTGTCTACATGGAGTCCAGTGAGCACAGATAGAAAAATACGGAGCTGACAACAGGTGACAAAAAAGTCTCACTCCACCATGCATAGCGATCTTATAGAAGTTGTATGGCAGAGTCCCATTCCAACCAGGCCTTTACTTCACATTACACTAGCATCTCCTAAGATCACTTGTGCTGGGGAGGGAGTAAGAGCTGAAATCCCCTGCTAAAGACTATCAACTGCCATTCCCATAGTTTTGGCTACTACTGTACTGTCCTGTTCTAGTCACCATGGCAACTTGTCATGCTGGAGGAAAACACTATTGTACAACATACCCATTCCCTACCTCCCTCTTCTTTATAATTAATCAACCCTAGAGAGTCACGTTTAATGTTTCATGTCCTGTTTACTCTCAATCCCCTTTAATCTGGGCTTGTACCTTACCATAGTGTTTATCATGGGTCAGGCTGTAAATGTCCCCCAAACTCATGTGTTAAAGGTTTGGTTTCCAACCTGTAGCACTATTGGAGGCAGTGGAGCCTTAGGAAGCAGGGCCTTGTGGGAAGACATAAGGTCACTGGGGGACTCTCATGAAGGAGATATTGAGATGTTATGGCTTCCCTCAATCCATTCTCTGTTTCCCTGGTCCCAATGGAATTCTGACTAATGCAGACCTAAAAACATAATTGTCAAAGTTACCCAAACCTCCAGCGTTACCAAGTTTAATGGACCTTTGCTGCCTAGTGGCATTTGGTAACAGTGGCTTGATATCATGGCTCTTGTGACTCCTACCCTTTTGGTTTTCCTCCTCCTCTGACTGTTTCTTGTAAATCTGACCTCTAAGTGATGAAGTCGGTGTTCTATCTGTCCCTTCTGCAGGTGGCCATCTAGTTTCATGGCTTGTGCCTACCAAATGAATAACTTATCACAGACCCTCACTCCTGAGCTCTAGATACATTAATTCCTGTTTATCTCTCTACTTGGGTGTCTGTTAAACACCCTAATCCCACCCACGGGACAGCTTCTTATCTCTTCCCTCTAGTATGTGTGATTCTCCCCCATAATGCATCATCTTAGGAAATTTGCCATTATTCAGTTCAAGCTAACAACCCAATGTAATTCTATTTCCCTCTTTCTTTCCTTTCTGTCCTCTGTGTGGTAGTCATGAGTATGTCTCCAGCTGCCATATGTCTCTGGCTGCTATGCTCTGAAATCCATCCCTGTACTCAACACTGTAGTACTTCCTCCAGACTGCCCCCTGCTGGCAATTGAATGTAGCAGGGCACTAAGGCAAACTCATACTTTGGAGACTGGACTCTTGTGACTAAAAGGCTTTCTACTGGTTTTGTTGAAATATTCTTATTTGGTCTAATACTATAGCCCAGCTTGGCCTGTAACTTAGTATGTAGTTTAAGGCTGACTTATCAAACTTATGATAGTCTTTTTTTTTTTCCCCAGCCTCCTCCAATCTATGTTTACACTTGGGAGCTGCCATGTCCAGTTTGAAGCTTTCTTAGAATTGCCCAAGTACGGCCCTTCCTTTCCTGGCCTCTTCAGGGATCACATTTGCAGCCAGTTTAATTTCTCTCAGTTCCACTCGATGCCTCCCTATTCTCCCCTCCTTAGTACATCTCTTGCACACCTAATCTGATTCTGTTGTCTGATGCTTGCCCAGTGGAGCTGAACTAAGACAGCATGGTTGATTCACTAGTAGATTTCATGTCGTTTCTTTTTCCTAAGTACATTAAATGCATGAGCCATCCACTTTTCTCAGTAGCCATCACGAGTCCAGTAGAAGCTACTACTTTCCTCCTCTAGATTATTACAATGGTTGATTGCTTCATTTTACACCTTTCCACTTTATTCTCATTTCAGTACACACACACACACACACACACACACACACACACACACACACACTCTCTCTCTCTCTCTCTCTCTCTCTCTCTCTCTCTCTCAATGTTACTTCCCTGCTTAAACCTTGTTAATGGTTTCCCATTAAGTTCAAACTAAGATTTAAACTCCTACTATGGCCACAGATGTTTTAAATTGTGACTTCTATGATGGGTTCTGCTGTGCATGCCTGTAATCTCACCACTCAGCAGGAGGATAATGGACTCCAGGCTAGCCTGATCTACATAGCAAAATCTTCTTTCAAAAAAAGGAAAAGAAAGTTGGCTTCTAACTCTTCAACTTTGTCTCTCCCACAATTCCCTGTGTCCCAATACCCAACTAGTTTCAGATACACTGGTTCCTTTCTCTCTATACATTTCTAAATTCTTTCATGCCCTGATGACTTTCCCTGCAATCTCTTTTCCCTAAAGTGTAATTATTGAGTCTCTCCAGAAAGCGAACCCATTCTCATTTTTAGCTCTCAGCTTAAAGTTCCCCGTATCAGCAAGGGAATCTCCATTCAGGGTTTCATCTCAACCCAACATTGCCCTGATTCTGCTCTGAGGTAGCTATCCCTCAAAATAACATAAAATCTGTAATTATTTTGATTACTGCCTGTTTCTCCCACTTAAAAAGAAGGCAAATGATGGCCCATAGCAGCCATTTTGGTTTTCTACAGCCCATGACCTAAGAACAGATATTATATATTAGTGTTACAGAAAAACTTGAACATTTTGAAGAACATTTCATGATCTGTGCAATAGGAAATTTTAATTTCATTTTCTATATAAAGCTGGACTGCAATAGCATTCATTTTTTTTCATTGTCTATGTCTGCTTTCAAACCACATTAGCAGAGTTGATCAGGTATGCTTAAAGTGCTTAAAATACTTACGGATTTTTTTTTCTGACATGATTGGTGATGCAAACCTATGTATGTGTCTATGTGAACATGGTAAGAGAAGAATTAAGTGTTCGGGAAAGACTCACTTTGAATGTGGTGGCATCATACCATGGGCTGGGTTCCCTGGTAGAATTAAAGAGTAAAAGGAAAGCCAGCAGAGCAGCCTTTGTTTTCCCATCCCATGATGTGATCTCTTCTGCCCTACCATGTGGTCCCTGACACCTTTGAAACTCTGAGCCAAAATACGCACCCTCCTCCCTGTTGTTTCTGTCAGGTGTTGGTCATAGTGATGGAAAGTACTAGAATGTAAACTAGTGACACTGTCTTGACCAGTGCTCCATTCTCAGTGTCTGGTCCCTACCCTGTGAGAAATCACAGCAGCTTGAACAAACCTTCCCTGTCTCCCAGTAGCCTTACTTCTCACTGGTCTCTTTCCTAAGCAGAACTGAGGATCTCAGTCTGGACATGGTGGAGTGCCCGGCAAACACGGCTGTCCCATTCATCTCGAAACAACTTGTTCCTTGCCCAAAAGGGTGCAGTTGGAAGATGAAAGGACTTTGGTGTAATTTATCAACAAGAAATTAAATAGTTCTGCAAGGGACTTAACGCAGTTCTAGGTGTGCGAGAATGTTGAATGAATGGTTGTTTCCCCTCCTCTGTTTTCCTTCCTGTAACAAGAATAAAACTACCCTCTTATTCTGCTGTATGAAATTTCCAAAGAGCTAATAAAAAAATTTCTAAAAACCAACTACCACCTTTCACAGTTGCCACAGACTAAATTAAAGAATACTGTGTGGACAAGCTTTGTAAGCCACAGACTGCAAATGGATATTCCCAACTTACATATTTATGAATGGAGTAGCTTTTCCCCTGGGCGGGAAGAGATCCTTTTCTTTGACAGGAGGACCAAGGAAGGGTCCAGACTAGGGAGATAGTTCCAGAAGGCTCTTGGGGGCGT